ATTTTGGACAGGCAGAGTGGACAGTAAGAGAGAGAGACAGAGAGAAAGGTCTTCCTTGGCCGTTGGTTCACCCTCCAATGGCCGCCACGGCCGGCGCGCTGTGGCCAGCGCACCACGCTGATCCGATGGCAGGAGCCAGGTACTTATCCTGGTCTCCCATGGGGTGCAGGGCCCAAGCACTTGGGCCATCCTCCACTGCACTCCCAGGCCACAGCAGAGAGCTGGCCTGGAAGAGGGGCAACCGGGACAGAATCCGGTGCCCCGACCGGGACTAGAACCCCGTGTGCTGGCGCCACAAGGCGGAGGATTAGCCTAGTGAGCCGCGGTGCCAGCTGAATTCAGGAGTCTTAATGAGTGTCTTAACTGCTAGACTCCGTCCCTGCCCCAGATGATCCCTGGTCTGTTTTGCCACAAGGCTCTTCCTTCAGGACCAGGGCAGTGAGGATGAGATTAAAAAGCTCCCTGCAGAGCATGGAGCAGAGAACAGTGAGAAAGGGACTGAGGTTGAGGAACCCTGTGAGACCAGAGCAGGCAACGAATGGAACAAGGCTCAAGTGGACTGGCCAGTGCGCTCTGGGGTCAGCAAGACCAGAAAGAAACTGTGACTTCATGGGTAGGGAAACAGACCTCGTGCCCAGGAGGAGTCCCTAAGCAGACCTGGAAAGCAGCTACTGAGATGGATCAGTGACCAAGGCTGTGAGCTCCGGGAAAGACTCCCTCTGTGGACTTGGATATGACCAGTGAGACCAGTGAGTTCTGTGGCCTTATGACCAAGTGGGAATCCTCAGAGCCCTGCTTCTCAAGGTGTGATTGCTCCATGGCGCACCAGTGGCACCCACCAACTCCCAGGGCTTAATAAGCATGGGCAGTCTCAGCCCGCACCCCAGGTCTGCAGAACACACTCTTTGGGGAATGGGTCCAGAACTGTTAGGGCAAATTCCCCAGGTGATTTCTGTGTATGCTGAAGCTGGAATACTTTCTAAAAGGGTCGGATCTCTGGAGGCCTGTTCTCAAGAGCTTAAGTGAACATGAGAACAGACACACTGGGAAGCCAATATGAGTTACAGTGCAAGAAGGAACCATAGATTATCTGCTCCCTGCCATTAAGGTGGCAAATGGGAAATAATTGAATGTGCCGAGTTCACAAATCATATTTGAGGTAAAGGAAAAGAAAGTTGTGGTTTTTTCCTGGACAGAGACACATAGAACTATCTCTGTTAGTGGTGAAATATGTCTCACAGAGGTGCAAAATTGCCAAAGGCTAGGGAGCCAGAACTGCAGGAATGCAAGTTGAAGGCAGTGCCAGGGCCAGTGGTCAGCCTGGGGCCCAGCACAGGCCACAGCCTCGGATGGATGGAACACATGTAACTAACACGGATAGCAGATGGACTGGCTTCCCTAATGCCTGCCAAAGGCACCATGCCCAACTCCATTTGAGTTTGTTTAGTAGCCATGGTAGCCCTTTTTGAAACAAGATATAGTGTGGATTAAATAATGCAATTATACACTATATATACACATAATACTTCACAATACCATATAACAAATTATATTAAAACATTAAATGTACTATTTATTGATTATTGATTGCAGTATTAAATATACTGTTTATTTAGAAATCAATATGCAAGATTTGATAGAATGAACTAAAGGAAGGTTTGAAAGATGAAAAATTCACATTTTCAAAAGCAGTGCCCAGTGAACTGCCATCTTCACTCACATGTCGGTAAGACCTATTCTCATGCTGCCTCCCCTTGCTCAGGTTGTCCACAGCCCCTGCCTGCTAACAGACTGTATGATCTGTGCATTCACTGCGTTTATTATTGTCTCTTCACTAGAGTGGAAGCCCTGTAGAGAGGGATTTTTGTTGCTTGGGCACAGATGGATTCCTAGCTCCTACATGTATCCCTAGGCTCAATGCACGTTTGTTGAAGAAGCGCATTAATGAAGAGAGTGCCTCATAGCACAGCAATAGGGTGAAAAAGGCTGATGTTTTGCTGGGATCTTCCTGTTAATGACTCATAATAAACAGAATGGTGCCTCCAGCCTATCTGTGTACCTTCACCTCTCTTCTTTCACAAAAGAATGGGAATTTTCAACACGAAATTTTGTTTTTTACTTTTTTTTTTTTTTTTTTTTTTTTTTTTTGGTAGATAGCTCAATCACAGCCAGGGCTCCTCTCAATCGTGACTCCCATATTGGGTTTCATTTCCATTAGTTAAATTCAGAACTCTGCTTTAAAACTGATAATTAACCTGACAAGAAGTTCACCAAAAAAAAGACACTTTTTTTCTCTTTAACTAGCTATAAGCTTTCCCACTGAAGTGTACAGGAAATCTAAAGCTTGAAGCATTTCATCTAGGCTCACCCAACCAAATGCAGTTTTTCATGGGGCAGTAGAGAAACATAAGCAGTCATATTAACTGGCTTTCGCACAAAGCACTTGCAAAACCTTTGAAGCACTCCATAGTGTACTGAGCCTTTTGAAGAACAAATTGGAACATCCATAGAAAGAAATTAATAAATTCAGATTGGCACAACAATAAGTGGAGATGGAGAATGTCAGAAGTATGCCCAACTGCTGGATTGTAGCACCTGGGTGCAGTGAGTGGCAGGGAGACAGCCACACTGTGCAGACAGCCTAAGGCAGGAGAGTGAAGCTTTTCCCATGATGGTAACAAAGAGCCATGACTCAGAGCACTGAGATTCAGCATGGGAGCAAATCTGTTCGTCAGCCCCAGAAGCAGGGCTGAAGCAGCAGCAATGTGGGAGACTGCATTCCTGCGGAGAAAAAGGACTCTTCAATGGGCCGTGCCTATGGCTCCTTGAGCCTGTCAGTGAGCATACACCTGAGAAGTCCTGTGCTGCAGGTCCCGGGGCCATGTTGGTCGGTGCCTGCGTATAAGGGACTCTTCTTCCAAGCCTGAAGTCATGTGGGCTTGCAGATCATGACAGTACAACCCCACAAATTAACTAGAATCCGTGGAGATGGCATGTGAACAAAAGTGTTGTGCCTCAAAGAAATCAATCTGTGAGCAAGCGATCGTTTTATTAGCATTTATGTTTTTAATAATAGAGCTGTTTGTTTATTTGAAAGGGAGAGTTAGAGAGACAGAGATTGAGAAAGAAGAGAGAGAGATCTTTCATCTGCTGATTCACTCCCCAAGTGACCACAACAGCCAAGCCTGGGCCAGGCTGAAGCCAGGAGCCTGGAATTCCATCCAGGTCTCCCACGTGGGCCTCAGGGGCCCACGAGCTCGGGCCATCTTCTGCTGCTTTCCCAGGTGCACTAGCAGGGAGCTTGATCCAAAGAGGCACCATCAGATGCTGGCCTCACAGGCGGTGGCTTAACCCACTGCACCACAATGCCAGCCCCTATAAGGATTTAAAATAAGACCTAGAGTAAGAGCCCTGTAATACTACAGGGTTAATGGTAACACTGCCTTCAGAGGTTGTGTGGTCAAGGCACTGGCAATCAAAGAAAGAGACCTTTTATCCCAGATTTGGGAAAACTGCTTGCAGGTTAAACAGCAAAACTAGAATATTTAGTATTGTTTTCTTTCCTCTGATAAAGAAAAAAAAAAAAAGCTTTTCTAATGCACATGAAATTGCCTCCAACTGGAAATGGGAAAGCACGTGTGCTGCCTCTTATCATAGTCCCTGGTCTGGGAAGTAACAGCGATTCCCACAGTTCCCAGATGTGCACCCCTCATTTGCTGGCATGGGTAGCCTCCCCCACAGCAGAAGTGTTTCAGGGCACAGACAGGACTGGGAACGCCCTTTGCATGGAGAACAGTGCTCCCAGGAATTATTCCAAGGAAAGGAGCAAACCCCTTCTGCGAGTCTGGTTTGTTTTATTGAGTTTGTGCCTTGCCTTGTGAACCTTTAGCAGAGTTTTGTAATGTGCAGTGGCTAGTTTCCCTTGACATTGTTTAAGCCCTTGCTTTGTGCAGTGAAAAAAGTTAAATGCATCACATGCATAATTTCACTCGGTTCTCCCCATAACTCCATGATGAAGATTCCTTGATCATTTTCCCCTTGTGCTAGTGAAGAGACTGACGCCCACGGAGGTTAAGGAGCATTGCTCATGGTCACCCGAATAGAAAGTGGAGCCAGGATTCAGTCCCAGCCTTGTTGCAATGTGGAGCCCAGGCCTGTAGCCAATTAGCATCCAATTCTTTGGGTTAGAATCTTCCTTGAGGGTGATCATTCATAAGCCAGGAAGCAAATGTCTCCCAGACTTCATGGCAGTCAACATCAGGTTCACAACATTTACTCTTCCAGGAGGAGTCAGCAACCAAATGAATTGGAAGAGCATCCTTCCAGCCTCCCAGTTTTCATTGCCAAATACACGCTTCAGGTTTGGGGCAAGCAATGGAATTAAGAATGAAACCTTCCTTAGGTTGGAGATATGAAAAGGCATTTTACAGAGTTTGTGGGAAAAGGGAATTGAAAGTTAAGTTACTTTTTTTCAAAGATGTATTTATTTTTTATTTGAAAGGCAGAGTTAACAGAGACAGAGACAGAGAGATCTTCCATCTGCTGGTTCACTCCTCAAATGGCAGCACAGGCAGAGCTGGGCTAGACCAAAGCCAGGAGCCAGGAGCTTCCTCTTGGTGTCCCACATGGGTGCAGAAGCCCAAGCACTTGGGTCATCCTCCATTGCTTTCCCAGGCACATTAGCAGGGAGCTGAGTCAGAAGTGGAGAAGCCAGGACTCGAACCAGAGTCTATATGGGATTCTGGCACTGTAGATGGCACCCTAACCAATGATGCCACAGCACCAACTGTGGAAAAAAATTGAAATCCATGCATATACACATTTTCCATCAACTTTTTTGAAGATCTCTTGCATGCATGGACTTCAAAAATTTTGCTGCCAAAATAAACATGAACCTTTTGACATGCCCGTGTGTGTGTGTATGTGTGAGAGAATGAATGTGTATATGGGGGAGGGACTGTGAGATACATGAATTTATTCCTTTCTCATTGCTTCTCTAGATTTTGATTGGCGCTGTCATTGCCATGGGCTCGGCAGACAGAGACGGCCGCCTGCACCCAGGGGACGAGCTTGTCTATGTGGATGGGATTCCAGTGGCTGGCAAGACCCACCGCTATGTCATCGACCTCATGCACCACGCGGCCCGCAACGGGCAGGTTAACCTCACTGTGAGAAGAAAGGTGCTATGTGGAGGTAGGTTCCTGCGGCAGCAGTCAGGGTGGACTGTGCCATCACGCTTTCACGCCTCAGAGTGAGGCCACTGGAAACAAAGGCTCACATCCGTTTCTACGTTGTGTGAGGAAAGAAACAATCTACCTGTTCCCTAAGCATGATTTTGAAGAGTGCAAGTTTGCGCCCAACTGGTACGGTACAGTCATTGAGGGCTGTATTTTAACTGTGGTCATTAAAAATTTCTGGCCAAACCTAGGGCTAATTTGAGATATGATTGCAGTTTGGTGGATGCCAGTTACAAAATCCTTATGCTAGCTGAAGATGTGCCTTTGACTGTGTTCTTCAGTGTGTTAACAAAGAGACCCACAACATTTGGATACTTTATTTTTTAAAAAATTTATTTATTTATTTGAAAGGCAGAGTTACACAGAGAGAGAAGGAGAGGCAGAGAGAGTAAGAGAGGTCTTCCATCTGATGGTTCTCTCCACAGATGGCCACAGTGGTCAGGGCTGCGCTGATCCAAAGCCAGGAGCCAGGAGCTTCTTCCAGGTCTCCCATGCGGGTGCAGGGGCCCAAGGACTTGGGCCATCTTCCACTCTTTTCCCAGGCCATAGCAGAGAGCTGGATCGGAAGTGAAGCATCCAGGACTCAAACTGGTGCCCATATGGGCTGCCGGCACTGCAGGTGGCAGCTCTACCCACTCCACCACAGGGCCAGCCCATGCATACTTTAATAGGGCAACCAGGATAGAAAATTCCTTTTTATTGTAGAACCTGATACAAGGTAATCACAAGGCTGTTTGCCTGATATAAAAAAAAAAAAGCAGCTGTACATCACTCAGAGAAAACACAATTGACATACTGACATAGTTGCAACCTATGCAACAGATAAATTGCAAATGATTATCCTTCTTACTGCCATTTTCTCAACTTTGTAAAAGAACCCACCAAAAACATACTTTTAAAAGCCAGCCTTGTGAGAGTAATATAGCCTGATCTGTTTCTCTTCACCATCTCAACTCTCAAAAGAGGCTTGTATTTTTTAAGGAATACATGTGTTTACAAGCACCACCCAGTGTTTTAATAATCTGAGCACTGTCCGGTGTTGGGATTCCAGACCTCCCCAGATAACGGCCCCTGCTGTGTCCTGTCAGTCAAAGGAGCAGCAGCGGCAAGGCTGTTCTGTGTCACCTTCGGCCCCAGCAGCATGCCGGCTTCTCTGCTCAGCCTCCTGGCCACCCCTCACACGGAATCGTCAGGGCTAGAATTAGGAGGGGCCTTTGCAATATGAGCACCCTCCTGCTCCAGACTGCTAAACTGAGGTCTAGAGGGTTGGTAGCCTGCCTGGTACTGTGCAGTGAGTCAGTGACAAGGCAGAAATGGACTGTCCTCCGTGCCTGTTCTGTTACACCACTTCTAGTCCCTCTCCCCACCCTAAGACATAACCAGCATGCCTAGTGAATTCAAAGACATTAGACCAACCATTAGCAACTGTTGGTTCCTAACATAAGGAGTCTTTCATACGTGCTGTCATAACATTTGAACCCAAACAAGGGTCACAGGCTAATCACAGGCTGTGAATGACTAGAGAGGAGAACACTTACTTCTTGGGCTGAAGATAAATAGCCTTTTCTTGTCAGGTTCTCTAGAAACTGAACTTGGACATGGCAATCATGGAAAAGGGCAAGTCAGAAGAATTGTCAGCCCTCACCAGCAGAGACGGCCATATATCTTGTATCGTTTGGAGGTTTTGCTAAGAGGTGCCATTTGTCTTCAGAAATTCATGGCATGCCACCTGAGCCACAGAAGTAAAACACCTTGAGTTATGCCTTATCCTTGGGTGAGATGCCAGGAGAGACGCAGTGCTTGCTCGGTTAATGTCTAACTGTCTATCTCCCTGCAGAGTATTTTTAATAAAAAGTTTGCTGTGCTGTATGTTCTGTGACCTAAAGATAAATTAAAAAGATATCTGATTTATAAGAAACATAGTGCAAAGTGCAAAAGCGATGCACCAACATCATTTCATGCTCGCCTTGCCACCAGCTGATTATGGCAAATTGAACTTGGTTCTGATGAACCCAAGCTGGTAGAGTGAATGCCAAATGCTGGACAAACGTGTTCTTGCAATTTGTGGCTCAAGCGATTTCTGTAAAGATGCTCTTTGCTGCAGTTCTTACCAACTTTACAGTTAGGCTTCTGAGTGCATTTCAAGTACATTTAATTTTTTTGAAAATGTTCTGCTGTAGGCTGCTTGTTCACACCAGGAGAGTTTCCAAGTTAATTCAGCCTACTCTTCCTTGAAAGCCTCGTCGCTGCTGAGCATAAATAAGTTCAGCAGAGGAACACCTTGCTCACACAGTCAATGCCTAGAAACAGGATGGAAAAGAGGCATGAGAAGATGACCTTTTTCCGTGGTTGCCATTTCTCCAAAGTGAGAAGGGACAGCTACAAATGAATGTGACAGCAGAGACACTTTCTCAAGGATTATGATTGTCATTGTTATTACACTTTGCTGAGCAAAGACAGTGGGAGGCACAACCTGGCTTAGGTGGGGGTTCAAAAAGGAACAGTCAGTTTGGGAAGAGACAGAAGAGCAGGGAGAGAGACAAGGTTGCCACCTGCCCACAGAAGGAGCAGTGTTATGGAGAAATCTCTCTGTCCTCCTCCTCACCTTGGCTTGTTCAAGTGCCCTGCCCCACTTCAGAAGACAGGGGGCACTGGCTCCCAATTAATGCTCAAGAAAAGGAACACATTCCTTATGAGAAATTCAGACAGGTGGGTTACGTGGGGGCAAAAATTAGAATAACCCAAAAATCCTGCTCCAAATGTTAAATTATAAAAGCAATGCACACACTAAAGACAGAAACGCCAGAATTTTTGATTAGGGTAGCTCGATCCTCAAAGTCAGAAAGTGTTGGGTAAGAAGAGACTGTCCAATGACACTCCCAGTTTTATTTACCAGGTAGTTTTAGATCTTGTACTGTGGACTAGTTTTGAGAGCAGATGTCTTATCCGTGCCAACAGCTCTGCTATTTAGTTGGTTTTTTCCCCAAGGATATTAGAAGAGTGTTTCTAATTATCATCCTGAAAGTATAAATATTTATATATTTAGTAGCTCGGCTTTGAGCTGTTCAACCTAATGACACATTGTTGCAAATGCATAGGGTTTATCTGAAAGACAGGGGACCCAAAGGAGTTTCCTAAGGTACAAATATAGAATTGATGTGAAAGAAAGTTTTGTGACTTAATCAAAACTCTTTAGAATCAGTCTTAAAGCTATCAGCATCTTTTCTCTGACACCTAAGGAAAAATCTCAGCCTTGGCCTAATGTTGAGAAAGGGGCAGTTTTCTTGACAGCTGAGTGAAAGTGTAGCCAGTGTTTGGGATGCTAGTGCATTCCCTGGTCCCACTCACTACATTTTTGCTCAATTCTAAAAGCAGTGCCTCGTCCTTTGTCTACAAGCATGCACCCATTTCAGCGCATCATCTGCCTTCAGGAGTGTATCCAGGAGTGCCCACACAGATGCCTGCAGGAAGGCCAGACCCTAGCATTGGCAAGGCTATACTTAGGGCTGCCCCTTGTCCTGTGAGATAGCATGAGGGCCCTAAGGTATACCCAAACCCTTGTGTCCAAACACATACCCTATTGTCTCAGTCATGCTCCAAGGTGATGTAAGTTCATGTGCAGTGCTGACATTTTTCTGAGGGTCAGTCAGAAGAGATGCAGGCACACCCTGGAAGCAGGCAAGGTCTAGATGGTTACAGAATCCTAGAGATCTGGGAGCCCATAGGTGGTTTTGAGGGGAAATGAAGGTTCCCATAGCACAAAACCCTCTGGCCCTGCAGATTCCTTACTCTTTGGATAAATGAGAAATCAGGTATTTTCAAGAGGCACTGGGGAATAGTCAGGCTGGCAGGCACCTGCAAACTACATCCCAGTCTGGGGAATAGCCATTACTCCCCTCCATCTGGTATATTTCAAGAGCTACTATTCAGCTCTAACCAAATATTTCAGGAGAAAGTGCAAGTCCCTATTTCTGCAAAGTCTCCCAATTTATAAGCAATGGCAATTAATCTTGGCAATGATGAAGCCAAGTGCAGGCCAGCACTGCGCACACTGGGAACAACAGCATCTAGCCAGCAGAGAGTGCTATGCACCAAGACTTCTGGCCTGAGTGCTGTGCCTGGCTCCCACCTTCCCCAGAGACCCTCTCCCATCAGTAAGTGATCTTTCTCAGTGTACGTGTTGGGGACGCAATGGAAACTTACCCTAAAATTGGCTGTATGACCTGAGTGAATATTAACTGACAGAATTCTGCATACCCATGTGTGTGTGAGCTAGAATGATGAGTCAGGGATCCATTGGAAATGCATGGATTTTTTTGTTAATGCACATGTTATGTAGTCTCTTTATGACATTATACTATGTTATTCTAAAATGGAGCTGTAGGTGGCCTACACAAGGAAGGGGTGCTAGAAAGAAGATAGTCGCCTTAGATGAGTTAAAACATGACCTAGGGTCAACCCCAGAGGCAGTCATGCTACTAATTTGCACACAATAGGAACACAGAACAAGTCCTAGAAAAACTGGGATGCTTCTTGCCCCCGACACTAAATATGCTCATTTTGTCTGGAGCTTGAAAGAGAAGTCCAACTGCAATAGGAAAGGACTCTGCTGATGTAACCCAGAGGCGGCTGTTGACTTAGTCCACAGTTTTCTTCCTCTCCCTGGAACCTTGGCTGGCCACTCCCAGCCATTTACTGCAAAGACAGATAATTTTTCTTTGTTGCTGATTTACCGACAATCACTGCTCTCAACCCCCTAATATGTGACAGCCAGAAAATGAGCTCTCTCTTGTCACTGTCTATGACATTTACTTACTGATTGGGTCCAATAACTCAGGGAGATTTTCAATTGAATGTAGCAGCATAATAATTGTTTGTTTGTCTTCTTCCTGACTATCTCTAATCACTTTATTTCCAACTTGCACAAGGACTGATAAAGGACGTGTACTTCACCGAAACAATAACAGCTCATCTAGGGATGATGTCTTCTAGCAAGGAGGCGCGTTTTACAGGCACAAGCTTTCAAGTCTTTGACATTGACATTATGTCTTTTATGACCTCAAGGCTTTTCTTACAAATGAAAAGCATCCATCTTCTACTTTTATTAAAATATGATTAATTTGATTATTTTAAAGATTTATTTGAAGGACAGAATGACAAAGAAAAGAGAGACAGAGTGAAAAAGAGATCTTCCATTCACTGGTTCACTCGCAGATAGCTATAATGATTGAAGCTGGGCCAGGCTGAAGCTAAGAACCCAGAACTCCATCAGGGTCTCCCATATGTGTGACTATGCTGCTTTTTCCCAGGTGTGTTAGCAGGAAGCTGGATTGGAAGCAGGGCAGCCAGGACTTGAACCAACTCTGATATGGGATGCTGGCATGGCAAGCTGCTGTTTAACCCAGTGAACCACAATGCCAGCCCTGATTAATTAGATCTTAAAGAAAAAAAGAAAGTGTACCAAATAATAATAAGAAATTTAGTGTAGATCTCATTTATTCTGTAATTACAAACCAGAAATACATTTTTATAAAGTCTTTTTAGTTTGAATTTTACTTTCTTTTTAAAAAATTGATGTAAGGTCATTTTTTTATATCTAGGTATAGAAATAAATGCAGCTCCTTTGTTAGGTAACTATGCAACAAAGTATCTCTTGTAGCTTTTCTTCCTCCCTCTTTCCATTTCAGAATAGAATTGCAGCTTAGAAAGTTAAGATATAATTTATAAAGCTTCGCTGACTATTTTTAACTTGCGATAGGAGACAGCCTCAAGAGCTCTAAACTGAAGACAATATCTAGAGACCCAGAAAGGAATCATTAATTGTGATTATTTTCCATCTTATTATTATTCCATCTTCTGAGTACACTAATCAAACTGTAAGATGGAAAATGAGAGTATTCCAGGTGTCTACCTCATTTCTTTTAATCAGAGAGCTAACACCTAGGTATTAAATCAAATGACAAAATTCTTTCTTGAGGCCAGCACCATAGTGCACTAGGTTAATCCTCCGCCTGTGGCGCCGGCATCCCATATGGGTGCCAGTTCTAGTCCCGGTTGCTCCTCTTCCAGTCCAGCTCTCTACTGTGGCCTGGGAAGGCAGTGGAGGATGGCCCAAGTGTTTGGGCCCTGCACCCGCATGGGAGACCAGGAAGAAGCACCTGGCTCCTGGCTTCAGATCGGCGCAGCTCTGGCCATTGCGGCCATTTGGGGAGTGAACCAGCGGAAGGAAGAACTTTCTATCTCTCTCTCACTCTCTGTAACTCTACCTGTCAAAAATAATAAGAAAAAGTATGTCTGGATGACAGATCAACTTTCATTTCAAAAACTAATTTGCCTGAGCTGCCAACTTTCTATCATTTCATCGTGTGAATATTTTTGCTTTCTTGGGGAAGTACTGGCTTGGTTTACTTGGTTGATAATAGAGTGTGTTGTGTGATATGGAATGTAAATGAGCACAGCCTCCAGCACCTCTTTGGAGATTAATTCCTTAGCCTGATATCTGTATTAGATTTGATCCTAGAGTGGGCAAACTACTTTTTGAGTGAAAAATCTCAAAATTTATTTATTGATTCTTTTAAGCCACTTTATTGAAATTTGATTGACATGTAAAAATCTGTGCAAACTACTTCTCAGAAGTGTATTACTGGGCAGGCGCCACGGCTCACTAGGCTAATCCTCCGCCTGCGGCGCCAGCATCCCAGGTTCTAGTTCCAGTTGGGGCACCAGTTCTGTCCCGGTTGCTCCTCTTCCAGGCCAGCTCTCTGCTGTGGCCCGGGAGGGCAGTGGAGGATGGCCCAGGTGCTTGGGCCCTGCACCCCATGGGAGACCAGGAGAAGCACCTGGCTCCTGGCTTCGAATCGGTGCAGCGCCGGCCATAGCGGCCACTTGGGGGGTGAACCAATGGAAGGAAGACCTTTCTCTCTGTCTCTCTCTGTCTCTCTCTCACACTGTCTAACTCTGCCTGTCAAAGAAAGAAATTTTTTAAAAAAGGTGTATTACTGGGCTGGTGTCGTGGCTCACTTGGTTAATCCTCCACCTGCAGCGCCGGCATCCTATATGGGCGCCGGGTTCTAGTCTCAGTTGTTCCTCTTCCAGTCCAGCTCTCTGCTGTGGCCCAGGAGGGCAGTGGAGGATAGCCCAAGTGCTTGGGCCCTGTACCTGCATGGGAGACCAGGAGGAAGCACTTCGCTCCTGGCTTTGGATCGGCACAGCACCGGCCATAGCAGCCATTTGGGAAGTGAACCAGCGGAAGGAAGACCTTTCTCTCTGTCTGTCTCTCTCTCTCTCTCACTGTCTATAACTCTACCTGTCAATTAAAAAAAAAAAAAAGTGTATTACTCCTGGGGCCAGCACTGTGGCGTAGCGGGTAAAGCCGCCGCCTGCAGTGCCAGCATCCTATAAGGGCACCGGTTAGAGTCCCAGCTGCTCCACTTCCAATCCAGCTCTCTTCTGTGGCCTGGGAAAGCAATAGAAGATGGTCCAAGTCCTTGGGCCCCTGCACCCGCATGAGAGACTCTGAAGAATCTCCTGGCTCCTGACTTCAGATCAGCACATCTGCAGCCGTTGCAGCCAATTGGGGAGTGAACCAGCAGATAGAAGACCTCTCTCTCTCTGCCTCTTCTCTCTCTGTATAACTCTGACTTCCAAATAAATAAATCTTAAAAAAAGAAGTGTATTACTCCCCTCCTTGAAGTGGGCTGACACACCATAAAATAGAACTTTGACTTCTTAGAGAACTAATACCAGACCCTTTGATATGGACATGACCTGTGTTGTCAGCTCTACTTCCAAGACCTGCACAGCAACATTTCTCAAAGTACGGCCTTGGAACTGGATCCAGATTCCTGTACCCAGTATTCTCTAAACCTACTGAAAAAAAAAAAAAAACTTTTCATGAGTGGATCCTGAATACCTGTTTTTACAAGCTCTGCACCTGATTCTTATGCACAGATCTGTTTAGGGTTCTGTCTGCTCATTTTATGAGCCTCTTCAGCTGGTTATTATTATGCAACCAAGAACACCAATATCTAATACTAGGCATTGTTCCAGAGCTTCCAGTCTTACCTAGAGGAAGATAGAAACAAGTAGCAGCACAGAGGGACCTGATGAGGGGTTTCACCATTTTTGCTATGAAGGCTAGACCTGGGCTAAGACCTGGAGGACTCATAACAAGCTACGTAGCCCTTCGAATGCTCCCCATGTCTTAGAGGAAGAGAAATTAGTCAGCCAGGCCTGTAGAATTCCAGTGTCCAGAACAGTGCCTAGTAATAAGAGGCATTCATTAAACCCTTGTTATGTAACTGAGTGCCAGGGCCAGCATTGTAGAAGTGCCAGTTCAAGTCCTGGCAGCTCCTCTTTCTTTTTTTCTTTTTCTTTTTTTTTAAAGATTCATTTATTTGAAATTTAGAGTTACAGAGAGGTAGACACAGAGAGAGAGAGGTCTTCAATTCGCTGGTTCACTCCCCAAATGGCTGCAATGGCTGCAGCTGGGCCAATCCAAAGCTAGGAGCCTGGAACTTTTTCAGGGTCTCCCACATGGGTTCAGGGACCCAGGAACTTGGGCCATCCTCCCCTGCTTTCCCAGGCACATTAGCAGGGAGCTTAATCAGAAGTGGAGCAGTCGTGACTCAAACCATCACCCATATAAGATGCTGTTGCTGCAGGCAGTGGCTTAACCCACTGTGCAATGATGCCAGGCCCCTGGCTGCTCCACTTTCAATCCAGCTTCCTGCTAGTGCAACCTGGGAGGCAACAGATAATCGACTCAAGTAAATGTTTGTGGGTCCCTGATACCCATGTGGGTAGAGTTCCAGACTCCTGGCTTCAGCTTGGCCCAGCCCTAGCTGCTGCAGTCATTTGGGAAATGAACCAGTGAATGGAAGATCTCTCTCAATTATGATGATAGATGATAGACAGATAGATAGATAGAAGATATTTAATAGATAGATAGATATTGATAGATCATAGGTAGGTGATAGATTCTGCTGCTCTGTCTCTCCCTGTTGTCTGCCTTTCGAGTAGACAAAAGTAAGAAAATAAACATTTTTGGATGTGTGTATTCCAGGCGAACCCTGTCCCGAGAATGGGAGGAGTCCAGGCTCTGTGTCAACCCATCACAGCTCTCCACGCAGTGACTACACAACCTACGCCAACAGCAACCACGCAGCCTCCAGCAGCAACGCCTCTCCCCCCGAAGGCTTCGCCTCCCACAGCCTGCAGACCAGCGACGTGGTCATTCACCGCAAGGAGAACGAGGGATTCGGCTTTGTCATCATCAGCTCCCTGAACAGGCCCGAGTCCGGATCCACTATTAGTAAGTAACTCACTCATCCACACTGGAATAAGAGGTCTTGTTTTCATTTGCTCAGATGGCAGGGACACCAGACAAGTAGACCAGAGAGCTGTTTTGAACACATTGTGTAGCCCAGAAGTCACAGGCTGGGGACATCCTCATTGTTATCCTTTGATTCAAGAACACCAGATCATAACCAACGCCCCCTCCCCAACCCTCAACCCCCCTGAAAGCTCTTCTTCATTTGTAAATCAGGGCAAAAATAACAGAGTGGTAGTGTCACTGTGGAAGGAAGGGTGCTGACTTTACAGTCGGTCAAGGCATGCTTCTCTTTTGATGGAAAGACCTGCAATAGAATGGAACCAGACCTGCAAAGGATCTGGGGGCTAGTAGTCCAGGCAGAAGCCTTAAGATGGAAGGGAACTCAGCATTGAAGAAATCTGGAGAAGCACAGGGTGGTTGTGGTTCAGTAAACAATGAAGAACGACATAGAATTAGACAGGAATCAACCATGCCGCTTTCATACTCACTGGTAAGAAGGCTCCATTGCAATCTAGGTTCGTGGGAACCATTGGAGAGTTTCAAGCAGTGGACTGAAATCTGACTTGTATGTTTAAAGATAAGTCCAGCGGCTTGTGTAAAATGAAATGTGGGGAGAGCACACACAGAAGCGGGAGACACAGCCAGGACGCCATTAATGCGGTGCCTTGAGGCCAGAGGTACTGCTGTGGACAGGAGTGGCAGTTCTGTGAGTCTAGACGACAGGTGCGGAGGCCATATTTCTCTCCCAGTAGTCATCTTTGTAGATTCTCGGGCCTCCCTGGTTGATTTCCTCTCTGCAACAGCATCCTAGAACTCATGGGCAGCCAGCAAGCAGTAGGACAGAAGAGCAGATAGTTCAACTTGTTCATTTTTCATGTTGAAATGATTTAGACAAAAATATCATGAATAGAAGAGCAAGAAAAGAAAAAAATAATAATTTCACCCATGGTGTAATCTTACAATTCTTACAACCTGTGGTGGCTGCCTGTACTTAAAGAGTTGTAGAGGAGTGCATCAAATAATACTCAAGAGATCAAATTTTGAGAAGAAGTTAATATGGTAAGGTTAATGTTATCCAAAAGAAAGAAAAAAAACACCAGAACTACATGGAGGGAATTACCCTGTTTAGCTTTAGCCTTGGCAAATTCAAGAGTGAAAACTACAGGATTAAATCTCAGCAAATATGTGTAAAAGCCAAATAACATACATCTGAAAGTGCAATTTCATTCCTCTTTTTCTCCATGATAAGCTGGAGAAACAAATCCAATCTTTAAGCATGGACCAAAAAGTAGGATTCTGTCAGTATGATGGATTCACCAAGATTAAAAGGACACAAGACTAAAGATTTTCATGAATTATATAAACAGCCTTCCAATAATTTACACTTGGGGAAAATGTTCAGAGAGAGCTTTTGTAGCTATTCCAGTCATTGAAATTGTTTATTGGGGCAGAATACCTAGAGGACTGGAATAAAAATACAAAGTATGCTGCCACAATGAAAATGTTAAGCATGTATTTTTAGGTCTCAACTTTATGTGAAGTATGACATCTTTATTTCTAAAGGTATAGGGAGTGCGTGTATGTATGTGTGTGTGTGTGTGTGTATTTGTAAGCTCACACACACACATGTATGCACACACTTACTATGTAAAAAAACCACAGGAGTGGGCATTTGGGATGCCCACTTCCCATATCAGAGCGCCTAGGTTTGAGTTCCGATTCCACCTTCCTGCTAATGTACATGCTGGGAAACAGCAGCTGATGACTTGAGTACTTGGGTCTCTACCACCCACATAGAAGACCCAGATAGAGTTCTTGGTTCCTGGCTTCAGCCTGGCCCAGACCTAGCTGTTGCAGGCATTTGGGGATTGAGCCCAGTACATGGAGAATCTCTGTCATTCATTTTCTCTCTCGTATCTCTCCGTCCCCTTTCAAATAAAATACAAATAAATTTTTAAACCCCTTTTTTAAGTTTAAAGGAAAAACAAAGAAGCCATAAATACCTTTTATATTAAAAATAAAATCCATGCATGAATAGATTTGGGAAATAACAGGTGCCGATGATTACAGTTAATATGGGACTTTTTCTCCCTTCCAAGTGACATCAAAAGAATAATTCTCACCATTTTCAAAATGGTATTATTTTGCATCATCCTGGAGAGTGGAAAGATAGTCTAGATTTCATGATACTTCATGACTTCTTTTTTTACGTGTTTAGTTTTTTTCAATTTAAGGATTTTGAAAGGCAGGTCCTCCCACACTCTGTGGCAAAAACCCCTATTACACTGACGGCACATGGCAACTGCAGTATGTAGTTTGTTTGTTTGTTTGTTTGTTTTTTAAAGATTTATTTATTTATTTGAAAGTCAAGTTACACAGAGAGAGGAGAGGCAGAGAGAGAGAGAGAGAGAGAGGTCCTCCATCCGATGGTTCACTACCAAGATGGCTGCAATGGCTGGAGCTGCACTGATCCGAAGCCAGGAGCCAGGTGCTTCCTCCTGGTCTCCCATGCGGGTGCAGGGGCTCAAGCACTTGGGCCATCCTCCACTGCCTTCCCAGGCCACAGCAGAGAGCGGGATCAGAAGAGGAGCAGCTGGGACTAGAACCGGCGCCCATATGGGATGCCAGAGCTTCAGGCCAGGGCGCCAACCCACTGTGCCACAGCGCTGGCCCCTGCAGTATGTAGTTTGTAACATGCACCTGAAAGATTCCTGGAGCTGCTGCTGTTTCATACCTAGTTTCCGTAATAACTTTGACCTCTAATTTTTGAGAGAAATGCTAAGTGCCTTGTGAATGATCAAGAGCCATCCATGGGCCACCTATACATTGTCAAAATATCAAGAGTTCTAGGCTGTGAGCCTGAGACAGGGGGATACTACCAGGTGCTCAGCAATCAGTCGTTCCCAGGGCTTGTGTCATTTTTCTCTTCACATCCTGTATGAGCCCAAGGATCATTAACACATCCACGATTTTGTTTTCATGGCTACTCAAGCCTTTTTGCTGGTGGACAAAGTGTTCTTATGCCTTTCACAGGAGCACCATTGCATGTAGACAGGAGAGTGGTATGGTTAGTGGTCAGGGTACTACAGTCATGCTGCCTGGGTCTGAAACCTGGCTCCATGATTTATTAGCCATGTAAGCTCAAGGAAGTTCCATGACCTCTTTTGGCCTCTGTTTCCTTGTTTGTAAAGTAAAGATCATTTCAATCTCTATATCATGAGGTTGCTATGAAGGTAAAATGAATCAATCCATGGAAATGCTTAGAACAGCCTGGGCTCAGAGGAAGCACTAGATATGTCCCTGCTACTGTCCAGACCACCGTCCCTTTTGGAAGTATCCTTCCTTTCCTTTCCACCAGCTTACTCTTCCTGGTAGTACAGAAGTCACAATGACTGAGTCAATCAGCCATTAGGTAGAGCCACCCAGTCTCCCAGGGCAGCTAAATCTGGGCAGCAGATGAGCATCTCTGCGGGCCAGCTCATCCTCCCCATATGTGAACCTCCTGGGAGCACAGGCTTTGCCACCCCTCATCCGCCTGCAGCCAGTCCAGCTCACCATGCTTCTGCAGAGGCTCCAGGCTAGAACTGCAGGTTCATCCTTCCAGAGCTCACTAGTCAAAAATCTAGGAAAGTCATGGAAAACATCAAAATTTTGTCATTCTCACTAGGTCTGTGTACACAAGATAGACAAGACTCAAGTAGCTCCTGACTCCGAGTGGATCAGATGCTTGTGCTATAAAAGTGCCCCAGTGGCTAGAGCAATGGAGTCGATAGGCTGGTCGTTGGGCATTCCCAGCTCAAGGACAAGTCCTGACATCCAGGTAGTATCACACACCCATCTTTATGGGTGCTTCCTACTTTCCCCCAAAATCTGCTTTCCCACCAGGCGTGCCCAAACAGGGATTTCTGGTACAATGGATGAAGCAGAAGTGACCATTCTTCTGCTTTGATCAACAACATTGTGTTGGAATTTGTGGGGTAGACATACATGGGCCACTTGGAAGCCTACAACCTGTTGAGGGAATTTATCATTAAATGCAGACCCAGGGCTATCAGTGAGGTAGAACATCAGGAGAGCAGCTGCAACCAAGCAAAACAGTCTCCAACAGGGGAACCATGGTTTCAACCCTTTCCTCCTTCATTTGTGTTCCTCTCATGGCGATGACTTGATTTTCTGCTTTATCCGCAATCTCATCACTGCCAACGAATGCTGACTGTCCAATGATGTTTCACCTCTGCACTGGTGCTGAAAATCATTTTCACATGTTCAGTCTTTGGCACAGGTTAGAGTTTGGGCACGATCATGGTTGGCTTTCCCTAAGGCCCACTGCAACCTGATGTTCAGGGAAGAAGTTAGTAATCTTTGGTAAAATGTCCTGATGACATTGTTAGGGCATCTGTGATGACATCCATAGGCTGTGGAGTTTCAAAGTTACTTGGAGACTCAAAACCTTAGCTAGCAAGTCCTTTGTGACATTTTTATGTGGGGTCCCTTACAAGGGTGAAATACAGCTGAACCACTAGCAAGGCAGATTAGAATGTTCTCCGTCTACCACGCCACCACAAAATAATCATTTGAACTTACAGTTAACACAAAGTAAAGCAAAGGCCAAGTTCTCAACAGCATTATCCAAAGATAAAAAAATTTGGAACTAAACAGAGGTGGCTTTGGACAGCAGGCCTAAGGCTTACTCCAACTTGTCCAGAAATACATCCCTTGAGAAAGCCATTGAGTATTCCTGTGCCCCTTCCTCATCTACAGAGTAAGGGAAGATGATCTTTATGGACAACTGTAGCTCCAAATTGCATTATGCCATGAGGAAAGCAGGATATTGGATTAGTTTTGACTTTTTTTTAAGTATTTCTTTCTTTATTTGCAAGGCAGAGTGACAGAGAGAGAGGGATAGATGGAGAGAGAGACATTCCATCTACTGGTTCACTCCCCAGATGGCTATAATAGTCAAGGCTGGGTCAGACCAA